TATAATTTTAACATTTTTCTCGTACAGAAAACATTTTAATGGTGGTGTTCGTGTTTAAATGAGAACTAAATTATTTGTCTGTTGCTATTAGGACATGTTCATCCATTCACATAGCTTTCTGTAGTATGCATAGAACACTGTCAATAATAAAAATAGTATTTTTACCGTCAGCCATTTTACAGATTGTCTGATAAAGTTTAAAATAACTCTTTTTTTTTGTTTACCACGATAACGAGCATGTTATTCCTCTTCAACGTAACAAAAATACTAAAATCTAAAATGTTTGATTTCTGAACACCTGCCTGTCCGAAAATCATGATTTTCGAGAAAAGTAAGAGAGAAACATTTCGGAAGATAATGTTATAAGCAATTGTCGTGACAATTAAAAATAATTCAGTTAAGCAGTGATATTAAAGACTTTTCTTCGTATATAGCTACAGATTGCATGTTTTATCTATAACTGAAGAATAATGACTATAGTCTTCATTTCTGATGGACGAGACATTTTCCAGGTAGACTCTGTATGAAAATAGTCACAGCTTATTTGATAAAAATTGATTCATGTTCGAACGACAAAAAAAATTTGTCTGCTTTTATATTTCGCAGTGCAAATAACACACTCTTCTTTTGTCGTTCACATAATTTTGACAACTTCATCATCATAAGAATAAGAAGTAAAAGAATTATCATCGGTGTAGAGCTCATACATTTCTGAGTATATTTTTTCACAGACTATCCATCGATTCCATACTTCGGATAGCAGAGTTTTTTTTCTAAAAGCCACTGAAAACGCGTGTGTTTTGCATGGGAGTGTTTTTTTATTTTCTGTGTAGAAAATACGCGTAAAGCAATGAATGAAAATAAATTGCAGTATAGAGACATCATTAGTTTGTGGAAGCAAGAAAGAAAGTTCATGGTTTCTATGTCCATAAATATTTTTCATTCATCACATTTTTTAGAATACTCAAGACATGAATACAAAAATAATTCAAAATTGTAGACGTATTATGGAATATGGTAAAATAATTACTATAGACAACGAAATAAAATTGTTGTTCAATGACTTTTTTGATGAATTAAACAAAATTAAAACAATAGAGTAACATTTCTGAATGTAATACGTAAAATAGTTGAGACAGTGTTTAATATTGACGAAAATAAATATACGGATCCATCTTTACATAATCATGACTTATTTATTATTGTACGTGATCAATATAGCGATCTATTAAATAAATGGAAGAAAAATGATGACGTATTTAAACAGTTAAAAGTCGAATCCGCCGAAGAAACGCTGAATGAAATAAATGATATTTTAACAATGGCGTGATAGGAGTATCTTTAACCAAATAAATATTTTCTAGTAAAACGCTCACGTTTCCTGTGTCATCTGATACTACAACAACAACACGTCTATTTGTATTTACTGACGCGATAGATTATTTTAACTGATTTAGTTCAGCTGAATATTATTTTCTAGTTATTTTTTTGTCATACGACTCCTGAGAAATTGTGTACAGAGCTTTCTTATCTCTATTTCAGTTATAAGATGCAACTTTTTTTCTGATTATCGGTAGAAAAGAGTTAGCTTTGTAAAATAAGTTGAAATCAAATATATGGTTAAATAACAAAATATTACCCACAACGAGAATATCAAGTGTATGTATGTGTATAAAGTATTTGCATATTCTTGAAAGAGAAAAAGAGAACCCGTAAATAACGTCTCACATCACTATGTTCATTTTCTCTTAATAAATGTAAGTTATAGTTTAAGTTAAAGCAGGTAAGCAGTGAAATATCGCACAGGAATCAGAGTTTCAACTTACTCTTAAATAGGATATCTTCGACTGCAATGACTCAGATAATAACTCGTCAACCAAAGAATTTGGAAAGTATGTTTTCTACAATTCCCAATGAAGACGTATTTCGTGTGTACAAAAAAGGCATGGATGCTGTGGTATGGGTGGAACTGATACAACAACTATCACTAATGCCAGACTACTAAAACGATTCGAAGAGTGGCGATGTTGCGGTCGCGGAACATCCGAAGATACTATGATATTTTTAAAAGATATTCAGCTGTTATCACAGGTTAATCCACGACGACGCTGTAATTGGTCTTCTTGGCTGTTAGCATGTCTCACATGTACATGGCCATGTTATTTGTGCTGTGTTATGTGCTGTCGACGAAGAACAAGAGTCATCGAGGTTCGAGGCGCGTTTGGTACCGAGGAATTTTTGATATCTTACTTAGATGTCCGTGATGCTTGTGCACAAATACCAACTGCTGCGGCGTTCAGCTACAAAACACGAAATTATATATAACGATTTTAACGAAATTTTACCTTTTTACGAACGACGAAAGTTTTCAGCAGTGAAATATGAGATGGTTTTGTTTTTTGGAGTAATGTGCAGCTTGCATGATATACTTGTGCCACTCGGACAAAAGTCGAAAGCTCTAATTTTTCGAAAACCCAGCAGTCGTTTGGTTATTCTCGTAAACCATTTTTATTATCGACTTCGTCAGAAAAGTTTCTTCCGGTTTTGATAAAATGATTGCCATAGTTGATTGTTTATTAGATAGAAACTTATTTAAGTAACCGTACGATAAGAACAATTGATGATGGATTTACTTCTCATCCAACCGATATTAACGAAGGGTGCTAAAATATCTAGTTTTTGTATAAAGTTCATAATTCCGTTAAATCTAAAACCTTTCTAAAGGCTGCTTCGCTTATAAGAATCTCCTTTACTTTTCGACCATCTACCGTATAACTTTTCTATTTTTATACCTTGATCGTCGTCTTTGTACCTGGGCCGTCTTAGCATCTGCTGCCTCACCGAGCAGACAAGCTAAATGTTATTTTTAAACTCTTTTGGACTAATACAAAACTTTGTAGAGTTTTGTACAACTTAGAAGAATCGATTTTTACTCATTTTGTCTGTTTCGAAACAAAATTCGGGCCCTGACTGACCATTATCACAACTGCCATTTTAAAATTTACGCATAAATCTGCATTAAGACTAAAGCGGGAACCTTTGTAACTGTCCCCTCGTTTTTTGAATGAAACAAAGTGCGTCATAGGTTATCGACTATGCGGATTCCGAATATCACCGTGCCAGCTGCGCATAGACCTTTCGAGACCCGTTTTCTGGAAAACCAATTTTTCAAAAACTCTAAAAAATAACCAAAACATTTCTTAATGAGGCCAGATTGTAGCTCTCTCAAATCTCTGATTAAAACGAGACATCTCCCATCTCTATACGACCTTTCTTTGCAAAGTTATGGAATTTACAGGCAAAGCCCTAAATTAATTTCTTATTTCTGTAGCTTTGAGCTGGCAATGAACATTTAGGCCTTTTCTTGTAAATTCTGTAACTTTGAAATGAAAGGTTTTAGAGATAGGAGATGTCTAATTTTAATCAGAAATTTGGATGCGCGGCAGAATATGTTACTAATCTTTTAGTCATTTCTGTATTAGCTGTGTTTACTTGAATTGCTTGTATCAACTTGTGCTACTGTGTACTCATGATTGTTTGTCAAATAAAACTAACTAAGGCTGAAATGTCTGTAAATAACAATCATGCTTGCAAAAAGTAAAAATTCAGTTCAGTTCAGATGAGCAGCTTGAAAAAGAAGAATCGCATAAATGTCAGAAAGATTTCAATTTTTCTCCCTTTTTCTTTTATACTTTGTCACATATTATCCGTTATAAGCAGACAGATTCTTGTTATGGGTTTTATAACTCAACAATGTCAAACAGTAGTAAGCATTATATTGTATACTGCATTATTGTCACACATTGTCGAGTTGTAAAACGCTTTCGATATATAACGTTTATCGCACATTTTCATACATACGAAGGTTATCTGGCATAAATATTTTCAACAGTGGTCGCCTCGATGCACAAGAAAAAGAATATAACTCATTTACTACATCTTTACTATTTTTTCTCTTTCGCTAGTCGCTCATCTCAAAAGTTCTCCAGACAGTTTTCCATAAGAATGAAAGTTCTAAAAAGTCTAAAAGTGCTAATAATTCCAAAGGTCCCCGGTAAATGTAAAGGCTCTCAAAATCAAAAAGTTGTAAAGGTTCTCGATAAATCCAAAGATTCTTCATAGTTTAAGAGTTCTAAAAGTTCTAATACTTCGAATAGTATCAAAAATTGTCCAAAAATTCTTTGGAATTATTAGCACTTTTAGACTTTTTAGAACTTTCATTCTTATGGAAAACTGTCTGGAGAGCTTTTAGACTTTATTTTGAATTCTATAAAACTGTGATCGCTTATCTAATGATCGTTGAATACTCAGGTCACAAAGAAAAGAAGAGTTTGATGATATAACTAAATCTAAACAGATAAGCGATGCTTTATTTAAACTTTAAGACTTTTCGAGAACTTGTAGAATCTTTGGAATTATTAAAACTTCTAGAACTACAGCATTTTTTGGAAAAAACTTGAACATTTAGAATTATTAGAACTTTAAGATTGTTCGAGAACTTTTGACTTTTAAGAACACTGTTAGGCTTTTTACGCTTATTCGAACTTTTTGATGTACCGACAACTATTAGAATGAAGAATATACTATAAAAAAGTCTTTTTTTGGGTGATTATCCCATGCATTTCTTTTTAAATTTTAAAATTGTTAATCGCTATTTTGCGAACATATAAATATAATTCGAAAATACGCATTCGAGTTGTCCACTTGTTCGACGATTCTTTCGCCAAGTCTGTCGCGACGGACGAGACGTATCACCATAGCCGCTCAATATCTATCCATTGTGTGGGGTCACGAAAAACAACAACAAAAACAGCATTCAAATACGACAAATATACTGGATTCATTCTGCAATGAAGGAACTCACAGAAACAGAAGCCATGATGCAATTCAAAGCGCTAAACTTCGTGTGAAAAAGCAAAAACATCGAACATCAAACTAAGTAAGCAAGAACGCTTCCTCTGCTATACAAAAAGAAGATACACATGCTTAAATGAGGGGTCGGAGAGAAATCAAGAAACGGCTATTATGCTACTCCAACGAGAAAAATGACTACCCCACGAGAATTTTATTTCTCTTCATAGAAACTGTCTTGTGTAGGTCACGGGAATAATGCATTTACACGAGAATTTTGCTGTTTTCTGCGAGAATTATGCATAGAATCTAGCAGATATTGAATATCTGCTAGATTCTATGCATAATTCTCGCAGAAAACAGCAAAATTCTCATGTAAATGCATTATTTCTGTGACTTAGACAAAACGTTTTTTTAGTGCTTTGTGATTCTGTGTCTTTTCATCGAAACTCTCGCGCCTAGGTCACGAGAATAATGCATTTAGACGCGAATTATGCTGTTTTCTGTAAGAATTATGCGTAGAAACTAGCAGATGTTATGCTCTCTTCACGAGAATTATGCTGTTTTGTATGAGAATTACTCGCACCGATGAGAGCATATTTCTACGTTAGCATTCTTCAGTGAATGCTTCTAAAAACTATTCATTTATTTTCATGTTTTTCTTTTTTGTGTCTTTTGTGTTTCTACTTTTACTGCTTATTGTACTTTTGATCTTCACCCGATACCGCAAGGTAAGGGTCTATCTAATAATAAATAATAATAAATAAGAACAGCTCATTCTTTTCTTTCTTATTGCGGTGCGAAGATGAACCGTAGTAAAGGACTGAACTTCAGGCTTTTTGTTCTGGACCAAAAATAGTGTCATTTTTTAGCGAAGTTTGAGTTTTTCCCTTTCAAAACTGGAAAATGGAACTGAATGTGGAAATGTACCCAAAGTTTACTTTTTGAGTGACACCCGCCTTATCTTGGTTCGCTTTCTGTTAGCCCTGTCATCCATACATGTTTTTTGTTTTTGGTCAGTCCGCTGTGCTACTGACTTATTTTTATTGATGCACAAAAAAAGACAGATTTAGCCCACAATCGACGCTAAATTAGAGTCTTCAAAAATATCATTCTGTGCGCCTTCTGAAAAGCCCATAACTTCGTTGTACGTTGGCATTTTTGGAACATTAAAGACATTATTACCATCTTTTTGAAAATAGAAGATCATTTGTT